GTAAGACTTATTAAATCTGCCTTTATTTAATTTTTTCTTTGATTAGTTTAAATACCAATTTTAATTTTAATTGAATAACTGCTTCCCACAGAGGTGTAAATCCACCCCTAACCTTCAATTTTCGAATAAATTATTAAACTATGAAACTTCCTATAAATTTTTTGTCACTCCTGTGTTAATACTGTTTATGATTGATTCCATTTTTACTATATCTAATTCTAAGACCGATACAATGCTAGTTAGAATTACCGGCAGATGTAACAGTCAGGATAATCATAACATAGAAATTATTTACTAGTAATTTTAAATATTCAAATAATATTAACGAATTATTCACATGGTTCGATTTAACGTCAATAAATACGTGCTGCATTTTTAAGTAAATTGCCACCAAGACAGTCTGAAACACTTGAACACGTATCAAGCGGAAAAGACCACGTGCAAGCTAATTGATGGCAGCAAAATGATTATTCTAGGTTGATTACTAAAATTACAATGCCATATTTTGCCGTAAGTTAAAATCGCATGCTACTAAACTACGAAACTAATTCGTACATTATAATATGTGTACATCATTTATTATCGATTGTTTTATTGGTTATAGTAAATTTAAAATGAAATGCAACATTTTTTTCATTTTTCGATTGATTCTTTCTAGTGCACTTGAGTAACTGCAGCATAAATATTATTATGATAATTTGCCAACGTCATGCAAGGAAGTAATTATTGTTATTATTAAATTATTGTGGTTATTTTACTTAGCATCTTCACTACCTGACGGTAGAAATAGATGGTCAACTGTTACCTGACGTCGGAAGTTGATTACTAATAGACTGAATAGACAGTTGGCAATCATTAAATCAGTTCAGATCTCGAATTAATGACTAATATTTCGAATAATAACAATTACTGAAACAACGACGGTAGTTATAACAACGCTATGAATGCAAACATAACATTAACTCATTGATCCTAATGATCAGGAAAGAGTTAATGAATCTGTCAGTAATCGCTTATAATTTAAAGCAATCAAATTTAATGAAATGACAAGAATAAGAAGCAGGAAGTAGAGAAAGAATTAATTTACTTCATACTTAACTAACGATTTACTACGTAGATTTTCCCAATCGATGCAATAAACGACCCAAATATGATTGCGTACATTTCGGGGTCAATTTTAGTTGTAGAGATTACTGTATATAAAAAAAGAGCAAAAAATTTGAAAATATACACAGGAATATTTTAATGATTTCTACAAAAAAAATTAATCCCTGCTGCATGTAGTACTATATAGCTTGACAGTACTGAAATAATTATTAAATAATAACTTCCCTTTTTCTATTTTTATATACGGTGCAATTATAATCCCGACACACACTTACTACTTCCATAATTGTTATTTTTACATGTCAATAAATACCGATATTGAGAGATATCGGTGGGGTCACATTTTTTAATTTTAGTGCATAAACTAATGAAAGAACTATAGTTCAGAGAAAAGTAATCATTTCCTGCTATTTTTAACCTCTATTAAATTTTGGTTTATACGCTTTGAATATCGTAATGGCTTGTAGAGTATCATTAAAATAGAAAGCATTGATCATCATCTGATAGAAAATTTCCATGATGATAACGCTAATTCAACTATCATGCTTAGGATTTTATATTTCATTCCATTTCAGTAATTAGAAATTGTTATTTGCAAAAACAAGTTACGATAATTGATTAACCTGCTTTGTTGATACAGAGAGCTAAGGTACTTCGTTATGATTTAGGACAATAGCAATTTTAATTTTTAATCTCTTTACTAGTTGTTATATTTGCGGATATAATCATTAACAATACCAAAATTATTTTTATATATAGCCATTAACGGGATTAAAGGCATAATAGGTAAATAAAGTAGTGAACCTTGAAGGTTATTTCCCCATAACCTTAACGATACGCTCGGGAATGTGTGCAATATTACTTTTAAATTTACATTATGCTAATTATTTTGCATTTCATATCAATTATAATTAATTACGTTCAATTATAATCCAATTACCTATGTCATGAAAAGAACTTCACTATGGTGATAATCCAAGAAATAACATTAAACTACGCGTACAAGTAAAAGCATTAATTAGAGTTTATTATTCTTTTATTGGTTTAGACGGCTTTATTTCTATATTTATTGTGCTTAACCGATATTATTATTATTCACTGCTTCATTTCTATAATAGTGTTAACGTAAGAAAAAAAAGAAAGAAATTATTCTCTATGTAGTTATTGTATTTAAACTATATTAACAGTTGATTTACTCAAAAATTCCATTGAACTATTTTAAAGGATGGATTAAATTATTTGTCCAAGATATTGTACTATAAATTAATTACGTTTTCGAAAGTGCAAAACAATAGTTGCAAAAAGGTATAAGTACAGGTGCATCCTAGCACTGAGTAATTATCAACACAACTTCTTGATCGCTTGACAACTTTGAACTACTTCGCTATCAATATTCTTACAAGGTTAGGAAAAAAATTGATTCTTATATATAGGCTTCGAATGCGTAGTATCTATTGTTGTTGCTTTCCAGTAAAATTGTAGAAAAGAAAGTTAAATTATCTTCTAAAAAATACCTACATTGAAGAGAAAATGAGCATGATTTTATGACTTAATATTGATAATTTTTTTTAACTTATTTAACAATTTAGACTAATTTTGCTGGTTTTAATTTTTCAATGGAACAGTAACAATTTAAATTTATGTTGACATATCCACTTATTTAATAAGAAATTTTAAACTGTACACATTGCTATTGTTTTTAATTAGGCAACATGCATATGCTTCACAAAATTGCCCTTCTCGCTCTCATTTGCTCTATTATGGTCTTACAAGCACATTCTTCGTCCATGTATTACGTGATGGTATGTCAATATTTAACTTTTTTAGATAGGACGGGTTCAATATTTTGCATTTGTATTTACAACGTGATTAGAAGGAGATGCTGTTTTTTTGATCATTTATATTGTTAATTGGCTTCATTTTCCTCTGCAGAGAATCTGTTATTGGTAGTTACTATTTGATATACGAGAGTAGCAATGGTATAAATTCCTGTAAATTAGAATGATCATTGTATAGGTGCTAATAAATTAATAGGTGAACCTTCAATTCAAGCTAGGATTAGAAAAGTGGTCATAGTATTCCTGTTTTATATTGTTTATTGGCTTTAGTTTCCTATACAAGAGCATCTATTGCTGATAGTTGCTATCAATGATATTCGGCAGCAGTAATGGTACAAATCCCCGTAAATTTAGAATTACTATTGTATAGGCATATTGAATGAACAGTTTACCTACATTTTAGCTAAGATTGGACGAGTGGCCATAGTAATCCTATCTTATATTGTTCATTGATTTTATTTTCCTATAGAAGAGCATCTATTAGTAGTAGTTGCTATCAATACTATTCGACAGTTGTAATAGTACAAATCCATGTAAATTAGAATCATTATACTATAGGGCAACTTAAATTAATAGTTTCAATTCTAACTAGGATTGGATAAGTGGACATAGTACTGAACTCCTATTCAATGTTGTTCATCGACTACGTTTTACTTAACAAGAATATCAATTACTATTGATATTCTACAGTAATAATGCTTCAAATCCTTGCCAATAAGAATCATCATTGCTTAGTTTAATTAAATTCAGTAGTTTAAATTCGAATTAGGATTGGATAAGTGGCTATAGCTCTCCTATTTTTTATTTATTGATTATTGATTATTTCATTTTCGATCACGTTTGGCTACTATGTCATTTATTAAAGTCTGTAATACTCAAATCAATAATTTTAAAACGTCATTATTATTATATTATTCTAGAGGAGGGATAATTGCGCTATTGTCGGTGGACTTAATTGCAAAGATGATGTTGATTGCCAATTACAATGTGGGTTATCCTTCTGTGACGTTGATCGATGTAGCAATCCACCACTTTAAGGCTGTATACATATCCATGCTGTCGGTTATTCTATGGTCTCTCTCCCGTGCGCAAGTCATCATTAATATTCTACTTTACTAAATTCAAGCTTGTACAGTAAATGCGATTTGACATTGAAAGTTTGGATGGTTATGTAGAGACGATAGAATAATTGTAATGTGTACATGACTAGCGCTGTCTTATTCTTACATAGTTCAATATGATACTGTAGTATCTAACTTTCAATCTTCTCTAGCAGTAAAAGGAAGAAAACACAATGCCATTTGAAAGTAATGATAAATCCAATAATTATGTTACTAAATTTAAACGAATAGCAAAAGTTATTCACCTAGAATAGAAATAGCACAACTTTATTCCGATAGCTCTTGTCACGTACACGTATAATTGATTAAGCAGTCAATTAGAGGCGAAACAACAATAAAATTATGTGAAATATTTTTCACTGTTACATTAATTCTATACGATTCTGGCATAGTCCATATTTTCTCTATTGATATGCGTATCCGTATACAAGTGGAACAAGAAGGAAGCGTTAGCAATGGGTTATTTCCCTATCATTCGCGTTGTGCAAGGCATTTTTACCATGTAGTAGCATCTCAATTATGCATGCAACAATCGCATCGTAAGATGTGATTAGAAGCCTAATCTTTCCGCGTACTATTCAAAATCCGGATCAACATCAATATCCGACTTCCCTACATTACATGTGTGAAATATAGGGGAGTCGCATATTGATGTAGATTTAAAAATCCAATTCAGATTTACAAAAGATTTGTCACTAAAGTTCGGTATCGCGAAATGGATTTAGAAATGCAAATTCTCCAACTTTGATACCAGCAGGCAGTATCGACACTTTGTACTTCCACTTACTGTAATAGAATCAGAGTTATGCACTATGGTGGCTGATCTCAGCCCAACTGTATGATACTGGTGATCAATCTGACAACATATGCTTACCAAAAATAAAAATAAATACAGTAAATTAATTCACACCAGCAGTGAAGATATTACTTGTACTGCAATATAGAAAGAAGAAGATTTGACGAGTATGTGGTATATATTCACTAGATGAACGTCCTGTCTCTTTGCTGACAGAGGTATCCTAGTTCATAGTGGGCTAAATAATGCAAAATTATAGTACCACGCATGTTTTGAATGTCATGATTATAATAATAATAATGGTAAATCCTGGACTACTAATATATAATTAATTCAATAATAAAAGACATTCTGCAAAATTACCAAATTGACTTAGTATCGATCTTGAGTGTCTATTTTTTTTGAATCATTTCTACTCATTCAGAAACATTGATGACGTTCTAGAACTGCTTTTCAAGCAGAACTGAGTATAATTATGGACTTCTAGATAGCTAGAGAATATATTACTGTCACAAACTTATGTTGCGAACTACTACACTAAACTAATAGATTACTTATGCCTTGCTCCACTACACCTGGAGATCTACTGTATGGTAGTTCTTTACTACTTTCGGTCACACAGGGAAAAGACTATTCTAAAAGATTAGTATAGTTTTTATTAGTAGAATAGCCGAGTACCTTCTCGTACACGATCTAATAAGGAACTCTGGAACTGAGCATTCGCTCGTCCTTTTATACCATTCCACTAAATTTATGGTGCACACATAGTAACTTGACAATATAAGATTTACATGATTTGTATACGCTATAATCGCACGATAAATGCGCGATAATCACACGATAAATGCATGATAATCGCGCGTACGTAGCGGGGGCTAAGGTATCGCCATTATTAATATCTACTGTATATAGGCTCTACTAATTAATTGCAAATACAATTATGCATTTTTGTCGTCTAGCAATCTAGACATTAATATTCTTAATTTCAATTACGCTTACCAATATGATCCATTAGCTAAATACTGACAAAATCTATTTAATTAGCAAGTACGGTGCTTTGCTCCGTAGCAATTACATTTAATTTAGCAAAATAAGTGAATAAGAGAACCGGCCATCCGCTTCAAGACCTATTCTGGCGAATAGACGTGTTTGCTGGGGCCGAATTGTCCGGCTTGTCCGAGTCAAGACTGAGTAGGAAGTCCATGATTCCAGCTGTCTGTAGTCATGGACTGCTCGAATAGACATGTTTGCTGGGGCCGAATTGTCCGACCCGTCCGAGTCAAGGCTCAGCTGCAAGTCCATGATTCCAGTTGTCTGTAGTCATGGATCGCTCGAATAGACGTGTTTGCTGGGGCCGAATTGTCCGACCTGTCCGAGTCAAGAGTCAGGAGGAAGTCCATAATCCTGGCTGTCTGTAGTCATGGACCGCTCACAAGAAAACAGTCATTACAGTACTGTACTGTACACTACACTGAACTCATACAGTACAGTACCCATATGCTCAATCAACCACGGCAGTAGAAGAAGACCGGGAACCAAGAGTCCTGGACTGATCCCTCTTGGACGGACAGACACTTTGGTCTCATCTGGTCAAGATATTGTGCCTGGTTATGACGGTACTTTAGTATGGAGATGATCGATTATAAATATATCGATTTTTTCTCAGTTAAGTAATATTAATTGAATCTTATTACCTGCTGCTAATTTCTGTTTGCAAGCCGTTCTACGAGATCGTCGATATCATTGAAATGAGTACCAGTGATTGAGAAAACAGACTGGGAAAGCTCCATACTAAGTGACCCTTTTTGGACGGTGTCATTGGATAAGAAAAGTCCGTCTGTCTGGCAGTATCTATCCTATCAGCCGGCGGCGTCCGGTGGACTACACTGAGTCGTCGTAGTACTGGTGTCAGCTACCGTACCGAACCATACCGTACTGTACTGTACCCACCCCTGGCGTAGACTGCCAGTCAACAATCTGGTCCAGTTGTTGTAGAGCTTTATTTCAACCATCATCAAGATGGCGTCGAGGTTGTTGAGTAGAATATCGCGAAGCAGTCAATCGTTAAGCTTTAGAAGACAAACACCAGTTGTATCTGCTTTTAGGTAAGTTAATAGAGCGTTGAAAACAAGTGACTTAACCGTGTATTAGGTTGTACACGGTAGAATGCAAGTATGAAGCGGCTTGTAGTGCTATACCGTATTGGCAAGTTACAGAAAACGTGAATTAAGCGATCCATGTTTGTCTTGTCAAGGTGTGGACGACTTAGTTCCAATCCATCTTGACTAAATCGCCCTATCATGCTATCTTATACTCATGACGATATCAATTAAACATCAACGATGATCTGATAATGCTACTAGATTGTGTTGATCATGCGATCGAAGCCGTATTATTCATACGAGTAGATCAACTTTTCAACTCTATCCGGTAATATGGACGATGTTTGTTGGCTGGGTGGAGTACAGTCGAGATCGTTTTTGACTAGTCTATCGATCCAACTTTGCTCTTTCACTTCATCAAAGTTCTTTAAACTGATTGATGTACTGTAGTGGTTCAAGCTGCCTTTTACATACAAGTGATGGTCAAAGATAAGCAGTCTTGAGTAACTTGTTGTAATAAGAGTTAGCTTATGATTGTAGTATTTCCAAAGTTTTTCGACTTTTTTTTCTTGCAGTACCATGGGCCTTTCCCATGACATGAACAATGTTGCCTACAGTAGTGTGTTAATCACTTTGTATCAATATTAATCATACTACGTCTATAAATGAATTCCAGATACAATAGCGATTCAATCAAGGAAAGCAAGCAATCACTGAAACCTAAGCCCTGGGAACCTCAGGGTGTTCAGCAACCACTTTCTGACTTACAAATGAGAGTCTTGCCGGGATATCTCAACGATGATGCAGGAAATGTTTTATATCCGAACGAAATAAGCGAAATATGGGATAAGGATGGAGTTTGTACGTCATTTTCCTAGTATCATGAACCAATCTTTGTCATTAATATATATATGGTGTATTAGCAACATCTTTTGGCATGATGTTATTCTAATAACCTTCAATAAACTAAATTTATATTTTAAGAGAAAACATCTCTACGTACACCTTTCGGATGACTAACGCAATGACCGTGTTCTATATGTTGTATCTCATCCAATTATTTCACCTATGTTATAGTGTTTACGCCGGACCAAGACATCGGTAGCTATACGGTCAATTTTGGTCCACAACATCCAGCTGCTCACGGCGTATTACGTCTTGTCATGGAATTAAACGGAGAGGTATGTTTGGAATAGGTTCTCTGATTCATGATTCGGTAACGTTAACAACATAGATTGTATATCTCCTTCTGTAATATTTTTCATCAAAGTTGATTTATATGCGGGTTTAATCAAATGTCTAACTTTCTATATTATCTATCCATATTGATAGACTGTAAAACGTTGCGATCCACATATTGGTTTGTTACATCGTGGAACAGAGAAATTATGCGAATACAAAACATACCTTCAGGTAATGTACAGTAGCTGTAGCATAATATCTACTTGTATATTAGACTATTCCTAGTCCGATATGATAAGAGGCCGCTTTATTGCTAAATACAATCTAGTAATAAAATAACAACATAGTCGGCTACATGTGCAACATAATATTACCAGTCTGTCCTGTATTCATACCTTAATAGAGTATGGTACAGTTTGATAATAACTTGACTGCTGATACAGATTAAAACATTTGACATATTGAAATAATTAACTACAGTTTATTCCGTAGACTTGAAAACAAAGCTAATCTTTCACTGGACTTTTACTAGGCTTTACCTTATTTTGATCGTTTGGACTATGTATCCATGATGTGTAATGAACAATGCTACTCCTTAGCCGTAGAGAAGTTACTAAATATTCAAATTCCAGAAAGAGCAAAGTTTATTAGAGGTACTAGAAATTTGTGAAATAGCGATATCTAAATTTCTCTCAGCCAGCAATAAAATATTAATTAATTCAATTTTTGCAGTCTTATTTGCCGAAATTAGTCGACTATTAAATCACATTATGGCTGTTACCACTCATGCGTTGGATGTTGGTGCTATGACGCCTTTCTTCTGGATGTTTGAAGAGCGTGAAAAGGTAAATTTGAACATAACAACTACTGGCAGATTTATAGCTTAAGGTTAAAGCATGGCTGCACTTGAATAATACCACATGCGTTATAATGTCACTTCAGATGATGGAATTCTATGAGCGCGTCTCTGGAGCTAGATTGCACGCTGCTTATGTAAGACCTGGTGGAGTTGCACAGGTAGTTAAACTAGAACTAGAATTATAGTGTACAGTTGCTAATTCCGTTGAGAAAAACTTAACTTAAGTAACAACGGAATGTACAAACCGTCCTCTTCCATTGTGTCGTTGTTTAGGACTTACCGTTAGGGCTGATGGATGACATTTATAGTTTCTGTAAGAATTTTTCGCAACGAATTGATGAATTGGAAGAGGTAACATACAGTATTTGGAATAATTGATTGAAATCACATCTGCCTTCTCTCAGCTGGAATTATCTTGTATTGCTTTATTTTGGGCATAGATGTTAACAAACAATCGCATCTGGAGGGATAGAACCGTCGATATTGGGATAGTCACAGCTCGAGAGGCTCTTGATAATAGTTTCAGGTGACTGTTTAGTGACTTTTGCACCGATCAATTTTAAAGTTGATAATAGTTCCTTTATACCTGATAGCGAGGGTTTAAGAAATTTAATAAAAATGTTGTTGCGCAAATTTTATATGATATTCCTTCACCAAATTATCAGCGGTGTTATGCTACGAGGTTCTGGAATTAAATGGGATCTTCGAAAGGTGCAGCCATACGATGCTTACGATAAAGTTGAATTCGATATTCCAATCGGTACTAATGGCGATTGCTATGATAGGTAAAACGATTAACTGGAACAGTGTATTAAGAATTGGCCGATTATTTTATCTCGTTCTCCTAATTTGCTTTGCATAAATCTCTACACTTCACAGATACTTATGTAGAGTGGAGGAAATGAGACAGAGCTTACGTATTATTATGCAGGTATATTTTGTTTGTCATGATAACTGCTATGATTGTAGTGGAAGACTATTTTTGTTCGCTTCGATTATTTTACTTACACTATAAATTCGCTATTATTAGTGTTTGAACCAAATGCCTGAAGGAGAAGTTAGAGTAGATGACGCTAAAATATCACCTCCACGACGGGCAGAAATGAAGGTCAGCTATGGATCGATAAATGCTTGTTTTGGTATTCTTGGATATTATGATAGAAACTAAATTTCTTCATATTTTTATCGTATAGGATTCAATGGAATCTCTGATCCATCACTTTAAACTATTTACTGAGGGTTACAATGTTCCACCTGGGGCCACATACACTGCGACAGAATCACCAAAAGGTGAACTTGCCGTGTACGTTGTATCAGATGGAAGTAGTAAACCGTACCGCGTGCGCATCAGAGCCCCTGGATTTGCTCACTTGGTCAGTTTCAAAATCGTTATGTTAATTGTTTTTAATTTAATGTTATTCAGACGACAACTTAAACTAACTCTTAATCGTTAATAGGCTGCAGTTGACAAAGTCGCCAGAAATCATTTCTTAGCCGATGTCGTAGCTATCCTTGGTAATTATTATGTTTATTTCAATATACTTTTCTACTAGATAATTGACATAATATACGCAGAATAACATTACTCATTGATATAGTTAAAAGTGGCTGATAAACCTGCTCATTGGCTTTCACTTTGATTATTATTAAATAGGTACTATGGATGTTGTATTTGGAGAAGTTGATCGCTAACTTTTAAAGCAACAATTCGGTTACATGTCTAGAATAAAACCGCTTAATGTGGCTTTGTTGTCTAAATTTTCGAAGTACTTTAACTGCTTGAATACATTATTATTGTACACGAGTCACCAACTTTGTATAACATTACTCATATTCTGCCAAATTTAAAAAAATACTTTTATTAAGGTATTATTTAGGCAGTTCATAACTAACACAAGTTTGATATGTGTCATGCTCTACTGTATGCGTCTGTAAAACAAATTTTGTAAGTAGCCATATTTGCGATGTATACCAACAAAATCAGCCAATAAAATTGTCTAAAATTGTCTAAACATTCAATCTTCGAGGTATCTTTTACCACGTGATGTTGCTACAAAATCTAGAAATCTCTAGTACCTATTTGTACTGCATTGGGTATCGATCGTTGCGTATTAAAATTAAAAATGTGGGATACGATAGCTGAGCGGGCGGATACCCACAACAAAATACTCCAATAGCAAATTGGCTAGAGGAAACAATAATTTACTACGTGTAGACTTTGCTCATAGCAGCGGGTGATCAAAACAATTTTAAAATATCGATCGGTTAATTTCAAATTTTAGTTACTCTGCTTTGATCGCATAGACAAGACATTACAATATTCCACTTCACACTGATATACTGACGAAAAAGGAAATGGCAGTCTACCGTGAACGAATAATCGATAGGTATTTGATATTTATGACGATCTAAAATCGTGCATGAATATGGAATGAAGACAAATTCAAGTCGTTTGCTATGCGAGTATCTTTCGACTGTAAACTGATTCAATAATGGCTAGGATTAATTCTTATGATTGACATAATTAAGAGCCATCACCGAAAATTTGTTATTCATACTCATTTTGTCCAACTACTATCTATTTGTCGTATATTATCTAATTCAGAATTATGAAGTTACTGCCACTAACGTTTTCTGTTAATAAATCCATAGGCTTTACGATTGTGACGAAGATATGAATTCTATTGATAAAGAATTTAAGAATCACGCGAAAATTATTAGAAATGTCTTTCGAGATCCGAAGTTGCTAAACTTAGATACTGATGACGACGTCGAAGAGCAGGAACTTCCAAATCCTCGTACGTATTTGACGTTCTGGCTGAAATTATAAAGTGTTGCATTTGTTTTACACTTTTCTTTTTCAGCTTACGTACTATCCCGACAAAATCAGCTAATGTAATTCTACTTATGGGATTTTTACAGCTCCGATAGGATTTATTGGCATGGACGATATATTTAAGACGGAAGAAGATAAAAAGAAAGAGTCAAAGAAGAAATCATCTTCAATCAATCGCGTTAAGGTTAAACTAAGTAACATCTACAAAAAGCCTGAGACATCACCTAAGAAAAAAGCTGTTAAGAACAAGGAAGAATCACCGAAGCCGCGTTACTCAGCTTATGTTAGTTGTTCATCTGTCGATAATGGCGATGGTAATTATCATATCGAGCAAAGGAGTGCCGTCCACAATCAGGATGGTGAAGAAGAATACTTAGTCACGAAATATGATAAAGATCGTAGTTATGCTATGCGTAAACACATTTATGCCGATGGCTACGAGGAAATACAACGCGATTACAGGCGAAAATCAGATGATAGAAAGATTCATTTTCGCGATATGTGCGGTATTAAATGGGATGAATAATTAGTAAAGATAAAAATTATCCATCTATATTGGTTTATGAAGTCTATTTTATTTATGATAACCGAATTTCGTTTATCAATAATTTTTCAATAAATGTACGCCAATATTGAATGAATAAATTTATCGAGGTTTTTTATATTCATGCGAAACATGGCGACTAACTCAAAAACAGTATATAAAGATATCCTATCATCACCCTTAGGATCAAATTACAATTGTCAGGATAGATCTTAGTAGATGTAATTCTTATTCTAAGTAATAATTTTTCGTGTTACATAGTTCCTCGACATTTTTGTTAATATTTCACGTTTGCTGATGTATTTTCTTCACATAAGCCTATTAGTTTAGTAGTACTATTACTCATTGAAAACCATTAACATTGTCGTACACTATTCGTGTACTATTTTTAAATTTATTTTAGTTCATAGAAAATCAAGGCTGTTCTTTATTCTTGATATACCACCATCTCTCGTTTGTAATAAAGTTTAACACTACTAAACATTAAAAAGTGTATACTATGATATTCAATGGTTAGAAAACTGATTTTCCGCTGATAACGATTCATTGTCAGAATTTCGTCTATTTTGATCACCTAAAGTAACTCAATAAACATAGTGTTAATCTTTTTAAAATTGTTATTTCGCAATGCAATCATACCTTTCACTGATAAGATTACCATTTTTAATTTTAAAATAATAAATGTAAAATGATTTCTGAATCGAAAATCAATAAAGTAATCCTCAGTTAGTCAGCGAGAGTAAATGAGCAGTTTTTTGACATTTTTAAAGTCCTGGCGATAATACAGTATATTCGCAAGTACTGCATAGTGTGGCAATGTATTGGTCTACGCTTCCCAGAAAACTTTACGAAGTACTAGTTTAATAGGCACACAATCCTTCATAGATATTAAAGATAGCACGATTAGATTACTTGTTCTGCAAATTTATATCACCAAGTTATAGAGAAGCTATATTGTAATTGTGGAATGTAATTAAATCACTTAAATCGTAATAATTATAGATGTATATTAAAAATCCACTCAATCCATCATATGATAAAATTGGTCTCGTAGAATTTAGTCTTTTAACAGAAAGCACGAAAAATATTGATAGTTTCATATAATTATATACGTTTGTGCGTTTGTATACGTATTACTATTAAAATATTCCTTAGCTCCACTTAAATTTAAATTCATATACGGGTCACTAGGTCTTCAGCATCAATTTGGTTTCTAAAATGACAAACTTAGATTCCATCTGCATTTACAATAATTAACGATATGCCAACGTACATGCATTATTGTACTTGAAATAGCTTCTATACTTTTGATTAGTATTTAGAAAAAATTTACAGTTAATGAAAGGCTTCTTTCAGTCTCCTCACACCGCAAGTTACAAAAGCATCACACTTTAATGGATTCCATTTTGGTAACGTAACAGAAGCAATTGAATTACTTCTAAAGATGAATCTTGCTTTAGTACTAGTTTGGATCATTAGTAATAACAATTGGATATTATAAAATTTTTTATTTCGATAAAGGCCAGTAATTTGATAATTTTATACGATATTAGACATAATTTATGTAATACTTTCTGAAAGATTAGGATAACGGTAAGGAAGATACAACGATATATTGGCCATCATTATTCTTTTGCATCTTGCATAATTGAATATTGCTTAAATTAGTAGATCCAAAATTGAAATGATTCATATCCTGAAAATGACGATAAAAATACGATAGCACACACTATTAACTATTCGATATCAAATAGCTAAAATTATCAAAAATCAATACTACTGATAGATACTGATACCCTGTAGTCGACTATAAGATTATGACAGCATATAAAACTAATTACTCGATCTCACTGATACGATCAACACTAATGACAGATGCCGGTATCAAGCAGTCTATAATAACACTTGGATAGTACTATGGTTCGTACCATTACTGTACTTATATACGGCTATCCTACAACCATATTTGTGCGAATGGTCGTGTTTCCTTCACGATATTATCAAGTAAGTATGCCGAACATTAGTTTGCAACCGATATAGCAAGTTAGGTTGCAATTAGTACGTTCATGCAATGATAATTGTTTACTAAGAGCTTAATCATAGCACCAGATAGCAGTTTGTTTTAATTCTCACGTACCTGTAGTATATTTCTAGCATCAAAAGGTTCCGTTCCACCAGGTGTTGATGTTCTATACCTAGAATTCATCAGTGTAGCATGGAGTTTTAGACGTGGACCTTCTTTTCCAGTCAATCCTGATGCAACAAATCGATCAACTATATCTTCACCCAGTTCTTGTAATCTAAAAGGCGTAATGCAATTTATTTTGTTTCAAGGTAATGAACTTTAAACGTACAGTTCATAAATATTTTATACCCTACAGAGATAAAGTATACGAAATTGATCTACTTACATCGTATCATGGATTTCAGCATAGAGCACCTTTGCTGCTGAAGGATCATCACCCATTATTTCCAATCCCTTGATGTCCACCTTTGCTTGTTTAATGGATTTAAGTCGTTTGCTTATATAAGAAAATTTGCTCATATCAGCTCATTCAATCATACAATATACATTCATATAATTTTTTCTTGCTATAAATCTAGAGCTAATGAAAATGTATTTAGCAATATTTACTACCTAACGACATCGGAACAATCGTCGAAAATTCGTTTAGCCTTATCCTAGAAAAACAACGAATGTTGTTCTTTTAACTTATAGATGTAATGCTTAATGTCAATCTTACACAAAACAATTTACCTCTTCTATTTTATCAAACAAGCGCAGAACTACTATCGTAATGTGTAGCCGTTGCGGCTCTTGCATGATTGATTCTTCAATACCTTTGCACTATGGATGACAAGGTGATGAGAGTAAATTAATACATTGAGATCAATTGCAATGATTCAAAATTATCAAGTTTCAGAAATATACCGTATGTGACGTCTCGGTTGAGATGAATATAAAATGGATATTATTTTACATTTTAGTTTGAATGTAACGCAGTAGAGATATACTGTATCGTAACTGATACAATAATAAGTATTGATCTCTCACTCTAACAGTTATGACGATAATTATAAGTGGATTGCATTTTACGCTTGATGAATAATACAACCATTTCTTGTCAACTTGTACTGCAGTTGTTAACATCACCAGTAATCATACCTGACTAAAGTCTTGTAAGACCATATCTTTAAATTGAATGTAGCTACTAATAACTTGTTTCGATAATAGCGGTACCATCACAAAATGTGTTGGTAGTGCTTTACTGCGGCAACTATCCACCAATAGTTCGATTCTAACTTTAGCGGAAATGACACCCTTTTTTGATGATCCGGTAATACATGTCAGATCTAATGGAAAACAAGGTCATAGCCACACTCAAATAACAAGGTGACAATATAGATATTAATAAATCCTTGCATGCTGTATCAATATACAGTACTGTATTTATTGCATCATCATCGATAGTTTTACTGCAGTAGCAAGCAATTAATACAGTTATTTAAAGGTACTAAAAATTGTATCTTCCTGCATGTAGACTGACAGTAGCATGAATACTGCGGCTAGAGTTACTTTTTAAAAGTGATCGTTTTATACGATAGGGTCCGTGATTGAGTTAACCCAAATACTATGGGATAGTGCTGATGTAAAATAACAATTCTATAATTTTAACACAATCTTAGAACCTATCTACCTAATCATGACAGTTTCTATAGTGACCCGCAAATATCGAGACAACACTAGCCTAGATTCAGCGTAATCCAATACTACGAACGATATATGTATTGTATCTTCATTACTATGCTGTAGGTCATCATTCAATCCTAGTGCTACTTATATGAATCTACGTTATCATAAACGGTGTTGCTATTGCAGTACATTGTTCAAATTTATTCTGCAGCCACGAATTAAACATAACCCTATAAAGTAAATTTACCATTCGAAGCATCAGAATTTCTTGAAGAAGGCAGCTTAATTTTCGTCCCAGTATCCTGTTGTAATTGTTTCATATTGCTACCTTTCTTACCAATAATCATACCAAAGCATTTCTCAGGTACTCGTAAGGATAGTTTGTAACCGTTAGGAGTTTCTTCTATGCTTTCGTCCTCGTCTTGGTTATCATCATCGAAAAAGTCAGGTTGAATACCGTCGGCTGTAATAAGAAGATATTAAGATTTTTATAGCTGCTTATCCAATATAGCAGATTATAATAGGGTATAATACTAGTATCTACGACTGTAAACATACAAACTCTGCGTCTATGGCAACTCAAATTGTGTATACGCGTATCTAGATGATATGGTCAAAAATACTATAGTTGAGTCCATGCTAGGATTGACCAAAACATGTACAGAACATAGAGTGTGAGAGGAAATTTCTAAAGGTTTCGGGAACTGATCACTTACTTTACTTACACTTAGAATTTACAATCTTTATTTGTACACGTACGCGTGTATATCTCTTCGGTATTGTACGAGATTATATGATATCTGCTGGACTGTATCCTTCATACGTATATTACTACAGTATTTTAAGTATTATTATTAACACTGCAGGAACTAGATATGAATAGGTCTACACTATTATTTAATACAGTATTATGGCTATACTGTCTTGAGATCGCTGTTAGCAATGTCGACGTTAAATTAATGCCCTTTAGTGGATTAATCAATCTTTCCTTTGAGATTTAGATATTCAATCGTAATTATTCAATAACCTTTTACTAATTCACCGTCAAATTTGAAATTTTCTTCTAGCACACGATAGCATCGACCATTAATGTTGACAATCTCCGGCATCATGATATCATTAGCGTTAGCCATGATGGGTTCTTGTGACACTACAGTACGTTCGTTGATCAATGTTAGTCCAATCCAGCAATACAACTTTATAAGCTAGGCAGGCTGTTCATCCTGACCTGAAAAGATGCACATGACAAAAAGGGTCATCACTTTCAAATTGCTAGCATACCAGAAACAGCCACAAGTTCAGGTCCTACTTACGTTATCTACCTAATACCCTGCCTAGATTAATTATTACTCTATCTGATGTTGATTGTAGTATCCAAGTAATACAGTACGAAGAGCAGAGTGACTGTCGATTGGCTTTTCTTGATCAGCGAGCAAATCAGCATGTACTGACCTATTAATGGAGAGATATTTTCAACGCATTGATAGGCTGTCGTCATGCTTATATCGTATTATAATACTGTATTATCATGACTGTTTCCTCTACACTACCGTGGGTTAGTCTACCGTGAGCTAAATGATTTCATTGATTTAGGCCGCTGCTCAATTTTACCTATTACACCCAGCAAATGATCGCAACAAACAAGGCGCTGAGTCTTGTACTTGGATCTTGCTTCTAGATGACCTGGTTTATGTATCAATGGAGAATGCAAGCTATTGATTATCGACCGAAAATAAGAAATGGTTTCTTACACAGAAACGATGCAATCTTGGTGATTACCTTGACGATTGTGTACAAACAGCTACAATTGCTTCAAGAATGAATTAATTATAAAATGATTGGTATCTTGGACGCCTAAACCTTAGCAAGAGTTGGAATGTTTTGGATGATTGTAGTAGCCAGCAAAGCTGCAAGTGTACAATTGAGACGATCCAGTCTACAGTCTACCGTGAGCTAAATGATTTCATTGATTTAGGCTACTGCTCAATTTTACCTATTACACCCAGCAAATGATCGCAATAAAAAAGGTGCTGATTCTTGTACTTGGATCTTGCTTCTAGTCGACCTGGTTTGTCTATCAATGAAGAATGCAAGCCATTGATTATCGACCGAAAATAAGAAATGGTTTCTTACACAGAAACGATGCAATCTTGGTGATTACCTTGACGATTGTGCACAAACAGCTACAATTGCTTCAAGAATGAATTAATTATAAAATGATTGGTATCTTGGACGCCTAAACCTTAGCAAGATTTCGAATGTTTTGGATGATTGTAGCAGCCAGCAAAGCTGCAAAAGTGTACGATTGAGACTGTCGAGTCTACAGTGTACAGTGTACAGTATGAACGTTGTATTGTGTACTGTACACTCTTGCTTAGGACGGTCAAGAATTTACCCTACTGGACGCTGTTGAGCGACTTAGCTGCTCCTGTCGAGGTAAGAAAAAAGCCTGTTTTTGGACCTCGATGGCTGCTCATAAGGAGAGCTATCTTCAACAGTGGTCGGTGCACTAGTGTAAACTATCGTATCCACTGGCATACACTGTTTGATGGGGATCCAAGAAAGAGAGACCATCAAACTACCGCACCAAACCATGGGCAGAACTTGGACTGTCTTTGCCTGGTCAGTTTTACTTGACGGGTCGGCAAGGACAGACAGCCAACAGTGTAGTGGTCGGTTATAGAGGTAGAATACAGTTAAAATGCCTAGCAATCTGTCGGCCTTCCTGGTTCCACTACCATCATCCACCCTTCAGCGACTTGGATGACGGTGCAGTACCGTACCAGGGTCTTCTGAGCAGGCCCAACGTGCACGTGACCCACTCCAAGCCTTACCGTCGACATCAAGAGCAGTCAGGGTATTGTATCATACCATCGGTCAAAAGCCCTATCACTCGTATTCACTTTCTTCTGACAGCGGTGCTAGTAGAGTCAGGGGCGGTGGTCAAGGTCCAGTGGACCAGGGTAATCCATTTTTAACCCGTACGCACACTTTTTACTGACTACAGTATAAAATCGCTTTTAACCCCTGGGCTGATTAACTTGACCGTTGCTGTGGAAGGGTCGGAAAACCAGGTAGGTAAAAGTTATTTATGCCTTTCTCCTTTTTTTAATCTTCTTCATGTCCAATCTTGTAGTTCTTCATTTCCAATGGACCATGATGCAGTTTTCATCATGATCCATGATTAGATGTTGCACCTTTTTTTGGGGGGGGGGGGGGGGGAATTGAAATACGGTATTCGTCATTTATTTTCGTCGCCATCTTGGTTATGTTTACAAATGAACAATAGCTTGGCCATCGCCTGTTCATCAACACTTTTTCTACACTATTTCTACTTGATTTTGATCGCTTGACCCATGCAATGCCTTGATCATCATGATATGAAATGGAATCGATCGTATAGACTTCTTTTTTTCCTTGAATACTTTCTTCCAGTATCGAAAACCCTATCAACCATGTTTTGTTGTCCTCTATTGGATGATTAGACTCAGCGGGCCAACAAATGACGTTGAAACCACTGCCTTGTAAAATAGTTTTACCTTAGTCATAATAGTAATGGACTGATCAGGATATGGATTACCTTCGTTTAAACAGTACGACTACAGTACTTGTATCTTTTTCTTCTAGTGACAGTAGAGAGTAGAAAAGAAAAAAGAACGCTCTGAAATGCAAACTAAAACTTGTCTAAAATTGCCCGTCCTCGTATATTATTTTATTTACAGTTGCTTACGGTAGTATTGCACCTGTGTTGATTGCCTTGACTTATTGCTCTTAAAAGAGAATTGGCGTTGCAGTCATTATTTAACGACGTTTAACAATGATGTACTTGGCACATAGACGGCGCTGATTTCTGAGAATTCTCCAGTCAATAATTCTCATTGAAAGTATTGACTTCAAAATCGACATTGCGTCAATATCAAGTAGAATATGAAAACATTCCTATCAATGTTCAAAATTTCCCCATCATGACGACATGATTGTAGCATACATACTGGAATAGAACCGATGATGAGTTCATTTTCAATTCGTTCACAAATAGAAAGAATGCGCTACAGACTTTCACATTGACTCTTAGGTGAAAAAAACAAACTGAGAAAACCATATTAAACTTGCGTTGAAAATGGGTTTAGAACAAATGAAGTGAATAGGCATGATAAGCGCTGGCTTCTGTAGAATTTTATTCCATGATGATAAATCCGTTAACAATTTATATGTATATCATCATGTCTTCAGTACTGTATAACGGCGAATCGAGTAATGATATGTTTAAGACAAGGAAAACATTCAGTTTTACTTCTAGCTAGCAATGATTTTGCCCTTCGCCAAGGTTGGAAAAAAATCGCCTTATTATTATTATTTTTTAATCTCTAATTGGATGCCTGGCCCAGAAAAAAGAAAGAATGAAATAATTATTTATATGTTTGTCTTCGCCTTTTGTCTTTTACATAGAGAAGCCTCGACGGTAAATGATAACTTAATTCAACAATACTCTTGTAGACCACCATATTCACCTTCATCAACCGCTCTCAGTTGATCTTCGATTATAGATTACTATAGTTATCAATCTTTGAGAAAACCTATCCTCGTAATGATATGGCTTTATCTATTCAGTTAGAAGTAGAAATGGGGGGGGGGCCGGTTGTTTCATATTTGTAAATTAATTTAACCTTATACGAGTAGGAATGACGTATGGTTGACCCATTTCCACTGGCTACCTTCAGTACTGTGCTCTGTATTAACAAGTAAAAGGATAACAAATATCGACATACGAGTTTGTAACTAGTACAGTCTTTACATGCTCTGTTTGCGATTCCAATATCATTGAACAGACGCATGAATTGATTGAGAATCGATTATAGTAACTCTTGCATTTATGGTAGAATAGGGATTGAACGCTAGAATATAGCAGAAGTAAAGATGATGTAACAAAGTTATTGTAGTCCACTTTGATGTAACATTTCTAGTCTAGCCTATAATTAATTAGAAACCGTGATTACATCGGCAAACGTTATCTTGTCAAAGTAATACTGGAAGGATAACTAACAAGATAAAATAATCACTAATTTGTACAAGATGGCTTTGATAAATACGTACTGGTAACATTGTACGCGTACTACTGGATAGCAGATCCTTCTAGCAATACCTTTTAATTTCTATAATTTGACTACAATCTTATCTTCTCTACACGTATAGTGGATAGTATTTTATTGACGTTATGATGACGACAAAGAATTGCTATGCAAATCATTCCAAGATCAAACATTAGAAAATAGATGCTTCAGTTTTGAGCAATCAAGCATTACTCACATAGCGTTCTATCTACGATAAAATGGCTGCCATTTATTTCATTTTATTTTCAATATCAATCACATAGAATCATAATTGCATATTTCATTGACAATGAATGTAAGCAATTGCAAGGTTTTACATGCACACAGGATTGATTAACATGAAGATTTCTAAATTTATTCCATGTGTGGTACAACTTGTCATCAGACAACATGATGATTTGATACGTATTTGCTTGCTTTAATTCTATCTCAGCTCAGCAAGATAATAACCGATGCGCATATGCTTATATTGCTTCATTCTAGGTTGTTTACGATTGCCGGATTGTAATTTTAAGCGAAGATTAACACTTCTTTCTCGGTGGTGAAAGCGTTGCAAATTTTGCAAAATGGCTTTCTCTCGTCCTTTATGGATGTTTTGTAATTGTATAATTCTTGCCACCTTAGCAGCAGCTGATGTCTCAGTGGTATGTACGCGTATACTGTTATATTCATGATAGCAATTTGATCATTCAAGGCCTTCGGAGTGATTGACATTTCTACTGATCGACCCGCCATATAGGTATCTGGAAATTTTTCGCAATCGTTTAATGATATCAGAGCTGACTTTGGACCAAGTGTTTCGGAAGCTGGATTATCAGTAAGTTTTTAACCTAACCTATTTGTATCGCTTGCATGCAGTTATGCGTATGCAAGAATCTATCAATACCGATCGAAAATCGTATTTACAGTAAGAAAGTTACATTTCCATTATTGCCATTCAAACAATTTATGTAGCAAATGAGTCTTAATATACTGTATATCAATAAGAGTACGATATTATGATTCAAATGCCTGCTAGGTAAAAAGAAGAGTCTATTTTACTCTGCTTTGTTCTACTTTGCTATACTTTAAAAAGCTCATTTATGCCAGTAAAGCCAAGTAACCCATTCAAATTGAGTCGCTGATCTTGATTTTATAAACTAAGTACAGTAGTTGATATTGATATATGCACTTTCATTGTCATTCGTGTAGTATCTCGGCAAGTTACCATACAGTAGCATCACATTTTTCTCGCTATTCCGTCGTACTTTCAATACATATTGCCCTGTGCGTAATAAAAAGAGACTGCATTTAATTTTGGTCACAAATCTATTTTAGGGTCGCGGCGTAATTGCACATCCATTAGATGGATGCTCGCCAATTCGAAGACCTCCGAATGATCTTACATTCTATTTTGCGATCATAAAGCGTGGTTCATGTCATTTCGACTTGAAGGTATGTTAGAATGGCTTGATCGTAATTGCTGTATCGAATGGGATTAAATGTTACACATCCACCTCTAGGTTTATCATGCTCAAAACGCAAATTATAAGGCTGTAATAGTGTACAATGATTTATCGGACCGCCTCGAGAAGATGGACGGAAAAAACTGTAAGACAGTCCTAAAATGCCACATTGTAATTTGTGTCAAGGATTAGAAAGCTTGGCATCAGTTTATGCCTTATCTTGAACTCATAATAACTGGATTAAGTGTCCGTTTACCTAATTTTTTTGCAGATACAAATCGAATTAATATTCCTTCGGTATTTATTGGAAATGTAAGAATTTGGATCTCATTTCTAAATTTTCTATACTGTATAATTACACTTTCACTCTGTCCAATAAAATACTGAAATAACTTGCTAAGCCTTATTGACGCTATGTTATTACTATTTTCTGCAACAGGCATCTGGAGTTCAATTACTCAAGACTATTAAGCGTGATAGTGGGTAAGTTCTACAGACACGGCTTGTGGTATTAGTATTTTTTTCCAATCCATTATAAAGCTATCCTCTCATTTTGTATACCATGAGTGCAGTGTAGGGTTCAATATCCAGCCAAACTTCTTCTGTTATCTTGATCTGAGTAATTTTTGTGCTGTATTGACGTTATATCTAGTGCGTTAATCAACATTTACCCTGAATACAATTTCCCGTGGGACTTTTATTTCATACCCTTTGCTATCGTGATTTGCATTAGTTTCCTGATTATGTCATTGATATTGGTAAGATGGTTTATTTATTTTATTTTCGCCTATCAATCAACAATCTCTTGTATAGTAATAGTCCTATGTCATCCCGATTACTATATTATAGGTTTGCAAATGCCGTGAAATGTGTATAGCTCGTCGTGAGACTCGATTAGCTAGAGCTAACCTGAATCGCCTAAAAGTAGTAAAATTCAAGAAAGGTTTGTATACAATTGCCTTCGTTCTTGCTTAATATGATATACTGTATATTTTCAATACCCTGATCAATGTTACTCTATACGCGTGCTACAGGCGATGAATATGATGTTTGTGCAATTTGTTTGGATGAGTATAACGAAGGTGAAAAGTTGCGAATCTTGCCTTGCAAGCATGGTAATTCACCTTGTAGATCAGAAATTTCTTGTAGAGTATTATTGCATTATCTTACTTTTCCAAAGCTATCAGCCAATATGATTGACCTATAATCATTTAACCTTTGTATATTTGATAGCTTATCATTGCAAGTGTATAGATCCTTGGTTAACAGACAATAAGCGAGAATGCCCTGTGTGTAAGCGTAGAGTCAACTTGTCTGCCCGAGATGACTGTGAAAATCCATCAGAAAACACACCGCTATTAGCAAATGCTTAATACCGCGACAGCACATCATTCTTATAGTGATCATGATTAATCTCAAAAATTTAGGGCTATTACTTATTGTGCACAACTAGAGGATGAATTTGTTAGCTGTAAATGTTTCTTCCATTAGAAAAATATTGGAGAGAGAATCATCAAAAAGAAACTTTAACTTTGTAAATGTAATAGTATAAAAAAAGATTTTGTATCTCTTATTCTTTAATATACTGTAATCTAGAATTACTTCTATGCTTAATTTAGCCCTTTGCGAGAGCTCAATAATTTTACATTATCGATGGAAACGGAGATTTTGATTGCAACTTTACCAGTTAGTAGTTAATCTTATCTTACGAGCTCAGCATATCAGCCTACTTTGACTTTTCTAACACGATCAACTTTCCTCTCTACTCATGTATATTATGCATAGTGTAATCAACTAGGGGATAGGCTCCAAAATGACAATATCGAATGTAATATCGGATACATTAGAATAGCGCTAGATGCATTGATATTATTAGCTAATTTCATAATGTACGTACTCGTATGCTGTAATATATGGTAGAGCATAATATCTGTAATTGATAAAATGATTTTTAAGCAATTATAAGGAGTACATGTATGAATCTGATTATATTCTTAAGAATATATCGACCAAAAGTTAACATTGTCCTATTCTAATACTGTATGTCACCCAACGTTATACTGTACTGTAGTTGAAAACGACGTAACATAATATATGATATGTAGAAAAATATTCTCTGTAAACCTGATCAAATTAAAGTCGTAAAATAGATGTTTGTAATTTTAATAATAAAAGTCAAAGATTTATCATAACGTAGTTCATTATACTGTTTTTCTCATTTAGCACTTGAAAATCATATCGTTCTGTGATAGAGTTACTTGACTGTTGCCAATTGAATCTTTGCTTGTGTTTAAAATTTCTTCCTTGCTCCTATAGACTGCGGACTCTTTAGTCTAAAGTTGCTACCAGTGTCTTATGACGCAACGATAAGTTTATAGACGAAAGAAATTTCAAATTACTCTTAAAGTGCTTGAATATACCTATACCTATGCATAAGGAATAGCCAATATGATTGATTTCTCCTCCACACACCACCATTGAATGAATCAATACCTGTCAGCTACATTATCATAACCTCATCCTAGAGTAGCAGAACCCTTCTGTATTTCATAATTACTAATTCTTACATTTGGTATGGATTACATGTGATTTTTTGCCAAGTCAATGATAATAGGAAACTATTCAGCTTGAAGGAAATTCTTCCTAGATAACTAATCTATGCTGATGATTGAAAAAGCAAGTAGGAAACGAAACTCTTGTCCTATCACCCATATCTGAGTATGTTAACAGTCCAAGATTAGACGCTATGATCATACGTGCAATGTCGTGCATTACCACATCACAGAATGCATGTTACTAAATCTCTTGTAAGCGGATAATGGTTCCTTTTCAGTATTGATTCCATCTAATGATGATCAATTCCTTATTGGGAATGATACAAGCATTCAAGCAGTAATTCACAGAACTAAGAACAGTCAGTAGTTTGTTGCGAATTATAAACTGCAAGCTATCCACTAAGAATTGGAATTACTTTTTCTTCTGTCGGTGTATCCAAATTGTTCTTCATATTCTGTAAAATAAGATTGTGGAACCGTTGCCGTTCCCATCTTATGGTTGCTTTTGGATTAAACCTTTGTTAAATCTGATCAAATTCAATTATTCCTAGAACAAAGTGTCTGCATATACAAGAATAATGCTTCTTCATTTCAATCACTATCCCAATACGTCAAGTTGTTTTACAATCTTGGATAGAGACTAGGGAGTCGTAGTCGTCAGTCCTATCAACACCGATGGTGTATTCTGTATATCGACCTATCCCATCGTGATTGAATCCATATTTATTCTTATTGTTAATTAGCATGGACTTCTCGATAGTAAATAGAATTTTGGACCAGACACTGATTGATTTCGATGGAGAAAAATCGGTGCATAATTTAGTACAACAAAATGCATCCAATTTTCTATGAGTGGATAGAGGGAGATGTAATGAACATATCGATTTATATCTATATTACATCCAATTGATTCCTATTGAAGCCTTCCTTTCATATTTTATAATGGACTGTAGCACGAGAATAATCCCATGGTAGAGTCCAGCATAGGGAACGTATAACGTTGGATTTTGAAACATTACTTGACGTAAAGTACTCGATTGTGCACTGTATTAGGCAGCCTCATAGAATACAGTATGGTACAGGAAATCTTTTTCTGTTTTGTTAATCTCAAGGCAATTCTTACAGTATTTTGCCCACTTCTGTATTAGAATGGCGTTTTCTTTACCTCTACTGTCTAATCTCACTCTATTTTGGATTACCAAGTTTTAGCTCCGTCATTGCATATTACGAGGGACTATTACTATACAGTGTACAATGTACGTGAGTAAAAATGAGAGAAAAGCGGGACTGATTGGAAGTGTCTGTTGACTCTCTTCAGAGCAACAAATGACTGAATTGCGTCCATCTTACCGTATGTAGCCCACTTGTCTATTAGAATGACGTTTCCTTTACCTCTTCTGCCTAATCTCCCTCCATTTTTGTTGACCGAGTTTTAGCTCATCATTGAATATTATTCTTGAATATTATTATGAGGGAACTCTGCGAGTAATACTGTAGTGTAGTGTAGAATCTACATGAGTAAAACAGAAAGAGAATAGTGCGACTGATTGGAAGTGTTTCTTGACTCTCTTCAGTACATCAATTGGCTGTACTGCGTCCATCTTACAGTATATTGCCCACTTGTCTATTAAACTGACGTTTCCTTTACCTCTTCTGCCTAATCTCCCTCCATTTTTGTTGACCGAGTTTTAGCTCATCATTGAATATTATTCTTGAATATTATTATGAGGGAACTCTGCGAGTAATACTGTAGTGTAGTGTAGAATCTACATGAGTAAAACAGAAAGAGAATAGTACGACTGATTGGAAGTGTTTCTTGACTCTCTTCAGTACATCAATTGGCTGTACTGAGTCCATCTTACAGTATATTGCCCACTTGTCTATTAAATTGACGTTTCCTTTACCTCTTCTGCCTAATCTCCCTCCATTTTTGTTGACCAAGTTTTAGCTCGGTCATTGAATGTTATGATGAGGGAGTGGTCAGAGTAGTAGTGTCCAATCAACAGTACAGTGGTAGGGCATCAGACAGAGAAACGCGAGACCGATTGCAAGTGATTGCAAGTGTCTCCTCTCAGTGTCAACAAATGACCGTCGGCCAGAGTGTACAGTGTACAGTACCAAATACCCAAGACTACAGTACTTTTTCCTCCTTCGACTGGAAACGGCACTCTGCCAATGGATGCTGTGAATCGCTGATGCGTCAACTACTGACGTCATTGCTTCTCCTCCCCCCTCCATCGCAAACATGCCTTGGTAGTTGGTACTATACAGTGTAGACGCATGCCGTCCAACTCAGCGAAGCATCGTCAGGCAGTCACGTCCCGGGTAGACAGTGCGCACTGGAGTGAAAAAGAAAAGCTGCAGAAATGGCTGTCTTGACGTAAAACTATACTGTACTGTATTGATGGACTACTCCATCCAATCTTCGACTCTCTCTCTTCATAGCCATGTACATTGTGCGATGACCGTGAATGCAGAGGTTGGAACGGCCGCTGGATACAACTTGAGCGGTAGTATTCTACAGTACTGTGGAAAACCAACTGCACATGCGCACGCCTTACTCCAGGACTGGACTGGCCAGTCTACAGTACCTCTCAAGATGGCTTGGTACTGTAGGGCGGACATGGACTGTAGGCATGGGACAAAAGCCGACCTGCGCCCTTTAGCATTTGCAAGTTTTTCGCTCGTGCCGTAGTACTGACTGGATTGGCTCGCCATCATCGTTCTTTCGCCATTTTTTCCACCTCAATTATTTTCCTTCATCATGAGTTGGCAAACTTATATTGACTCTAACTTGCTGGGTACCGGTAAAGTGACAGAAGCTGCTATTTGTGGCTTAGATGGAAACTTATGGGCATACAGCAAAGGCTTTCAGGTAATGTTCAGTGAACTCATCCTCATGTACCCCTAAAAAAGAACTTTCCATGTGGCCTTGATCAAGAGGCCTTCAAAAAAATCTCACTACAGCCTAATTTCCTCACCAGTCATGTTGCTTTCATTCTTGACCAATGTTAAAAATGCTTGCAATAGGCCAAAAAAAGAATTTTATCCATACAGTCATGGTACACCTCTTGCGATACGAACTGGATGACGGAGGAAGAAACCTGTTTTCGATCATTCTCCTCTGGCGCTTTTTTCCAATCCTGGACTTGCTTTGCAGTCCAACATTTTCACATATCTCGTCCGTCATCCAATGCGTTAAGCTTCTTCAAAATCATTCAAATAGACAGGCTACTGTAGTGGCTCAATCTTGCTTTAAATAATCATGGGCAATATGGATCGATCGTTAGTATGGAATCATGACAACTCAGCTATCCAATAGATACACGTTTTCTTCTTTTCAACTTTTAATTTCTTCCTAAGAATCAGTTTTGAAATACTCTATACTGTACTGTACTAGACGAAGACACGGTTGAACAGGGCCCAACCCTGTTCAACCTTCAAACTCTCTCATGCCTGTCATGTCTTTCTCTTGCTTGAAATAGCTCAAATCCAACCGATGACAGTCTACAAGTACAATTGTACCCATCCATCATGGTTATCGTTGATTTCAACAATCAACGACAGTTTTTCTCCTTGACTAGAAAATACAAATCAGGTATGATTCAAATAGGCAATCTTAGTTGTCGTCGCTGCAAGGATTACTTCACGTGATGCCACGCTAGTAGTAGTACTATAAATGGCCACTTGAAATGGGCTAGGGCTACAGACGAATTGGATTGAAAGCTAATTTCCTTCGCTCCATCCAATTTTCAATAGACTTCGCACAGAATGGACAATATTGCTCAAGCAAGATAAAAAATCTCCATGGAATGTCGTAGTTACCTTGAAATAGAGTTAATGACCATACTGACAAACAATTCAAAACTCGGATCGTCGTCATTGACTGATGAAGAAAGCTCGAGATAGAGATCGAAGAAGAGTAAAAGTAAAAACGTCCACAATGTGCATTCATTCTTATGAAATCCACGATCGATAATCCTTTATGACCACTAATGCATATTGATCGCCATGAGAATAGAATGACTACAATCTATTTTCTTACAGAAATTGTGATAAAATAATGATAACATCAACTACGGTCATGGCACGGAATGGGGTACGCTGATTGATCGTAGCAAAGTACGCTCTTGACGATCGAAAACAACCCCTTGCAAGGATCTTAGAGAATCATACTTTATTGTTCATTTCTCGCTTAATCTCATCAACAGAACGCTTTTTTAGCCCCTTACAAACGGTATGCAATCTTGTAGAATTCGATTGCAATGGACGTGCGGACAAATAGCATCGTGTCTAGAGATGACATTTTCTTACATGATTCGTTCGCATCGATCGTATATTTGAATTTCTGCCCTACAAGACTTGGCTTTCATGAGTGCCTACCGCATTGATGCCTGAAATTAATTCACTTTAGTCAAACTGGGATTGATCTATTAACAACTTAAACATACTACGGTGGAGAAGTGCAAGCGAAGAATTGATATTGTACCGTATTGTTGTATTCAGACAGAAACCTTTTAGCCTAACGTTTTAATCGATCGTATGTATTCATTTACCAAGGTGGAAATCGAATGCAGGATAAAGTACAGAGAAAAATCCCTTTCTTTCTGAGTCAATATATACGATACTGCAGTTTCCATGCCCTATGCGCATGGTTTGCTATCCATTTCCTCTTTTATCGAGAAGCAAAACTATTAACAAATGATGGCACGCCATACTCTTCAAATGTTTTTGTTATGGAAACGTGTTAAAAAAATTGAAAGTAGAGTCAATTTAGTGGATTTTAATTGCATTAATAATTCGTCATTCTTTGTTTTATTCTTGCAGTCGTACATTAAATTCATTCGTTGTAATGATAGTCATTGTCAAGGAAGCTGCTCCAAAGTTGCGTAATTGCTCAATGTGAAATAAAAAGGGACTGCAAGTTAACTACGTAATACTGCATTGGATTCATGATTATCGATGAATTGAATGTAGCTACTACAATATACTCACTGTTGATCCGTGATTGCAAAAGGTTGCCTACAGTCCTACTTGGGTAGAACTTTATCTATACCATTCAAATCACTAATTACAGTATAAAAAGAGGAAATAACGACTATACTAAAAAATGGGATTACAATAATTGTACTTGATCCAACTCTTGAATTTCTTGTTCATGATTATACAATCGTCAAAAATCGATATTCTAATGAAATGATATTATGCTATTATTATATCTTTAGCCTACTCCAGCAGAAGCAACAGCCATCATTAAGGGCATCCAAAGTGATAGCTCGGTATTAGCCGCAAGTGGAATTAAAGTTAATGGTACCAAGTACATGTTTCTACAAGCAATAAAAGATGAATTCGCTTACGGCAAAAAAGGCAATGACGGAGTTTGTTGCATCAAGACAGGCCAATGTTTGATTATTGGCACCTATGAAAATGGTATTCAACCTGGAGAGTGTTCTGTAGCTGTTGGAAAAGTGGCCGATTACTTGAGGAATAGTGGTTATTAATAAGTTGAACGATTAGGATATCTTGAGAACAGTTTGTGTTAACTACAGTATTAATTACTTTGATAATTATCGTACCGTAATGTACTACCGTCATGCTGCTATTTACGTAAAATGCCGAGTTAACGTAGTGCTGTACTTTCGATTGTAACCTTATTAGGCATAAATAACCTAAATTAATAATTTTTACAGCAACCCAATTTTGGTATCTTGTCCGATGGACTTCATGATTTAGTGCAGGATAGTGTGTGTAATGGGCAGGCCTACGTTCAAAATAGAGATTTAGCAAAAATAATCATTTAGGCGGAATAAATATTTCAAATGGTTTTGTTTTGTCGTATAGATTTGATTCAGCTTAATTGGTCATATTTTGCTGTTATGTGTTCTTTCTTCCTACTCTTTACGATAGCAATCATAATTCTTTCCTTTGATAAAATCAGTTATTTGGATCAATGGGTTTTATATCATAACTAAAGCTAGATAAGTTGATGCCTACTTTCATAAATCCTTGCTAAACCTACTTCAAACTTGACGTGGTTAGTTGTTTGTTGGTGTAATGATGAATAAATCTTGTGGATTATCGTAATAGCTTTGAAAGAAGATTTTTATTGTCATCAATGGCTAGAATGATTGATGCTTTGCAAATTACTCGACAATAGTACAACCGATTGGTAGTATTGCTTGGGGTCAATATGAATGAATTAATTAAACCACTGCTGCTATCTTACATTCTTCACTATTTAGCACTGTAGTTGCATGTCTACAAATTAACTCTCAGCCAACTGATCCAAGAGTGATCAATACTGTCGCATGTACCTGATAATAATACTCCTTGAATTCAGCATGGATCGCTATAAAATTAAGCTACATAATAAATTGAAGGGAAAGAATGATTTGTTCGTACAACGGGAATGGTATAGCTAGTCCAAGATTCTTTAAAGCGAGAATTTAACCCAACATTAATAGTTATAAATTGCAAGTGATTCCATTTATATACTGTAATTGTAAAAGTTGGATGCGACGATACTACTCATGATCGAATTGGCACTATTTACTCTTTGCTGTAAAATCGATTGCTTACCATCCATTCTAAACCATCATGGCTAATCTAGCGATCCATAATATGAAGTACAGTAGGCAGTCAGTCGTGTAGAAAACAAATTGATCATTATGGCTTGATGTGGATTGCAATAGGAGAAAAAAAAATCGACCCGTATAAGCAGGGGACTTTCGGCGTCTTTTCACGACCGCTGATCTACAGCAATATCATTAGGTCCAATGTTAAATATACATACTCTAAATGCTTGTCTACGCGTACAGTATATATGGATGCTCGTATCTACTGCATTAATTCATAAATTGCTTCTTGGCATGGTCATTCATATTAAAATTTTATTTGCTGTATTACAATCCTTGTATCATAAATATCAAGTTATACTCGTCGCCGAGCAATCTTGCTTAATCTGCTTTTATATTCATTCGGGTGGTGCCACTTTAATTCACCTTTATCCAATGGTCCAAGACAGTCCAATTTTTCCAATTGACCTATCGTATAATTAATTATCAGCACTATCAGTGGCTCAATACTACACAGGAAGCACAAATCAATATAGCATAATCACCAATTGCTAAACTCTGTAGAAGAGAATGGCCAGTATTGTTTTAAATTCAATTCAAATAATAAAGCAACACTACTTGTGATACTGTATTCAAGACAATTTGAAAAAATGGAGGTCAAAAATAATAATTAGAAATAAATACCATATTTAATCATGATACAAGCGCCAAGATCTGACCATTGAATTCATCTAGAAAACTCTATCCAGTCACAATTCATTACCAATGCAAACTTATTTCTACCCTTTTGTCACTAGCAAAATCAGTTAATTCAATTAGATAGATATCCATGGCGTATGCTATCCGACACTTAAACCGAAAATAGACGCGACTATTCCTTTGTAAGTTAGCCAATTTGGAATATCAATAGCGCTTCAAAGGTGATTTTATTTGCTAATTCATTTCCTATCCAATGATACGATAAAGCATCTCGTTGGTTTTATGCGGATAATCCAACTTGCTGTGGAAGCAATTGATTTTAGGTAGGTGTAACAGCGGAATAGAAATATATGTAGTGAAAATACATGATTAAAATCTATTCTGCTGTGCATATGGGATTCTTATGCACTACTGTAGTTATGACATATTCATTTATGTTGATATAGAATTCAAACGGAGTTAGTATAGATTAATGTAGGCTTACAGAGAATGCATCGAAGATGTGTGTTTTCAACGTCTAGCTGTGAATTAGATAGTACTTTGATGCTTAACTAGTTTAATCATGTCGTGCCCATACATAACATATACAGTAGTTTCTTTCGTTTCATTTAGTAGATGCATCTGTCATACACCACCAGTGGCAAAGTAGTCTCCACACGCCAATGCTTATGAAGAACGATTCTTACTAACTTAAAGAGGTGAAAATTCGCTATAGCAGCAAAATAATTCAGTTCCAACGACCCAATACCATAGTATAATTATAGCGTCTGTGATAGTGTAGACGAGGTAGTCAGAGATTGACTACTATTGATTCCTGAAGAAATATTGACAACCAAGATTATAGCCTTGACAATTCAATAGCAATTGACAAACTAGTAGACTAACTAACTAAAAAGATGGTCTTCAGGCACTAGCCTTTGATCGTCTCGTCAGAAACTGCTGGTGTACATAAAGTAAAACTATCCTTCTAAATAACAGTGCATCATCATATTAATCAAAGGTTAAACAGATTATATGAAGAAATGACAACGTCAATTCACACAAACAGTTTTTAATATTACTCAATAATTAAAACGAGCTTACGCATGGTAACTGCATCGAACGATGAAATTCTTCTCTACCGTCAATGATAGGATCAAGTTGACTTCAACGCAAGAAATACAGTATATCCAGTTTATGCTACTAATGCGTAAGATACCATCCTAAGCGGCCTTTCAACTACCATCTGCAGGATAATCTGAATTTACATTACAACACCAAACGCTTAGCTCTGTCTGTAATCATTAGAAAGCATCATTTTCTTTTAAAGTAATCAGGCCAATCTCCCTGTTAAGAATTAAAGCCAACTTTTATCCTTTTTGGCGCTAGATTAAGTATATCTTTATCAATATTCAAGTACCTTATATAAAGGATTCGAAATTGGAAAATCTTGGCTCGATATCGATGGTAAGATTTTTGAATTCAAATCCGCCTGATTTGAAGAAGAGATTTATTTCAATAATGATTGCCTTATAACCATTACTTAGCAAAATCTTATCAGTATTCAAGTACCTTATAACCTCGTATAGAGGATTCAAAATTGGAAAACCTGGGCTCGATATCGATGGTAAGATTTTACTTCATTCAAATCCGCCGGATTTGGAGAAGAGATTTATTTCAATGATTGCCTTATAACCATTACTTAGCAAAATCTTTACCAATATTCAAGTACCTTATAACTTCGTATAGAGGATTCGAAATTGGAAAACCTTGGTTCGATATCGATGGTAAGATTTTTGAATTCAAATTTTCCGGATTTGAAGAAGAGATTTATTTTAATAACGATGGCCTTATAACCATTACTTAGCAAAATCTTTACCAATATTCAAGTACCTTATAACTTCATATAAAGGATTCGAAATTGGAAAACCTTGGTTCGATATCGATGGTAAGATTTTTGAATTCAAATTTTCCGGATTTGAAGAAGAGATTTATTTTAATAACGATGGCCTTATAACCATTACTTAGCAAAATCTTTACCAATATTCAAGTACCTTATAACTTCACATAAAGGATTCGAAATTGGAAAACCTTGGCTCGATATCGATGGTAAGATTTTTGAATTCAAATTTTCTGGATTTGAAGAAGAGATTTATTTTAATAACGATGGCCTTATAACCATTACTTAGCAAAATCTTTATCAATATTCAAGTACCGTATAACCTCGTATAAAGGATTCGAAATTGGAAAACCTTGGCTCGATATCGATGGTAAGATTTTACTTCTTCAAATTCTCCGGATTTGAAGAAGAGATTTATTTTAATAACGATGGCCTTATAACCATTACTTAGCAAAATCTTTATCAATATTCAAGTACCGTATAACCTCGTATAAAGGATTCGAAATTGGAAAACCTTGGCTCGATATCGATGGTAAGATTTTACTTCTTCAAATTCTCCGGATTTGAAGAAGAGATTTATTTCAATAATGATTGCCTTATAATATGCACCATTCCTTAGCAAAATTATGTCATTTGGCACATAGAAATTCTCTACAATATGCCACCACAAAAGGTAAAAGAGGCCGTAGGCATACATTCAACAACAGCTGGAGATTTAATCGCAAAAATGCAATAAGTAAATCTTACAGTATTCCTTCGTCCAAACCTACCTTTTGCAACATCTTCATTTTCATGATACTGTAATATGTTGATAAGCTTCTTTGTTGGTCTATGGATAACGTATGAGACACATTTGACTTCCTAGCACTGTTATAGTTATCGAAGATCACTATTAATTATTCGATTACTGCATAGAATTGTACCGGATAATACGTCGTTAACTCTGGTAAGTTCTACATTCTCGTCGATTTGATAGATGTATGATTCGATACTCGTATATACAATTATTGTACAATGTTCATGTTCATAAGGACTCACGAGTTGTCCTCTTCTTTTCATTATTACGCTCTTCGTGGATTCTCAATAAAATCCTGTTATCCCCTAACATCAACATGCTTGTGTCCTCGTTGATGATGTAGGCTTTTTATAAACAAACCCTTAATATCACAGATACCACAAGCACTCTTTAACGATTCCAATACCAATCACATTTCATAGCCATTATCCTTTATAAGAACTGCCAATTCATCCTAAATTAATATCGACTACAAGTATTAGAATTTAATGGCCAACCATCTGAGTCCGGCAAATCAATACGAGTGGTATGCGCGTATACTCGTACAATTTAGAGCAAGACCAAGACTATGTCAGCTAATTATAATTTCTTATGACGAATGAGCTATATGGTATTACAAGCGATAATCATTGGCAATAAAGGGATAAAATGCATTTCTTTTTGACGTGTGGCAACCAAATTTTATGTCTAAGTCCTTTTCCGTATATAGGATACAGTATTCCTAATGATTCAACACGTTATGAGATAAACTATCATTGAAAACTAGTGTAACTCCACCTACAGTAAATCCAGTCGACACGTTGCAGACAAATTGTACTGCCATTTTTGGCGCTTGGCTTTTCCATGGCTTTATCAACCTTATTTACTCTACTTACTAGCTAAACATCCTGTTGCTTCGCTGACATAGATATCACAGTTCATCGAAAATGACAACATCAGCAGTGTTGTAGAACAGTTATGAAATTTTATTGAGTGTACAAGTGTACTATAATGACCAATATTTATTGGCCATCTCATGGCCTCAGGCTTTTACTGTAGGTTCGCTTAAGGTAAAATCTTCATATGAGTGGTGTGTGCAACAATGGCAAGCGGTAATTTGCCGTTTTCATCTCATTTATTAGTTGAGTTATTAACTCTTTTAAATTGTTTTATTACAATATACGTTTACCACAAATTTCTCTCAATACTGTAATAAAAGCCACTCGGCGTGTCTATTTTCTCTTTAGATATAGAAAAAGGGAAAAATTAGGACTTCAACGAATGTAAAAATAAAATACTTTATAACAAACATTTAGGCATCTATATAAGAATAGTTAAGGCATACAACAATCATTTCTGTATATTTTGCCATCTAAAAATCGGAAGAATTAGTAAACATGCCGTACACTATCGTACAGTAGGATATACTGATTTATGCAGTATACATTACAAAGACAGAGACTACATATTCACTAGCAAGCTACTCATTCTTTACGGAGCTTATTTTTTACTCTATGTCAATGTTGAAAATCGACTGTATCCATCTAGCTTCACATTTATATGAGCTAACTTTGTTATGATAGCGAAATCTACGAAAAAAGTCGGTAGTACGCTGACTGAAATGTAAAAATACTACTGCACTTTTAGAAAAGCAAAGCTAACAATCATGGACTACTCAATGCACCTAGTAGTCCATGCAACAACATTCGATTAAGCTAAGCTCTCAGCATTTTCAAGCAATATGCACGCTATCGTACGGCCACATATTGGTAAACCTTACAAAAAAACATTTCACTTTAAATTTCCCTTGCCGCTTTTAATGCAATAACAATCATAGAGATATGCCGCGGACTACTTCCTGACAAATTTACTAGTCTAACGTTAAGCACTTCCATTGACTTGCTACGAATTACTACCCTAATTTATCGTAAGATCTAGTAAGAATATAATAGTGCTACGCCTAATGGCTATCCTTCTAAAAGGATCACGATCGGTAGACACATTGCACTATAGCCTACAAAACAGCTTTAGACTATAACCCTGAAACAGGCTTGGGCTTCTAGAAATATACACAAGTAGTTCAACGTAATTCTAGAAGCCCATGGTAGAAAACTGTATACTATACACTCCTAAAGTAAGATTACGCTTTATGCAGAATTTAAAACAGAATGATCGATCTCAACTGATTTAACTTCTGCCAATTCTGTGATCGGTAAGTGAAATTTCGTAACGCACAATCAGCTCAGAACGTAACACACGCCTATCTCAATGGAGATTCATTATACTCTTATAGCCTATAATTATCCGATAAATTGTAAAGAAGGTATGTTTACAAATAACCGATAAATTGATATACAAGATTTATTGCTGTAAACATGAAGACCATATTGCATGGTAATGATGTCGGGTGAGATCTTGTAGTTTATTGTCAATGCTAAATTAGAGCAAAAGAAATCGCATGCATGTGGTCTGCTGCAATAGTTTGGAAATGATAGTGTGATTAATTAGGTTACCTTAAGAAAATTAGACAGAGAAAGGTTTGTTACTATTTAACCGACCTTATTGCTCGTATTCAATATGTTGTTGATCCGATTTAATTGAACTTGGATCAATACGTACTTTAAATTTATTTTTAAAAGTTAAATGTGGCTTAATTTATTATCTAATTATGCTACTAGATCCAATTTTGGTTAGTTCAAATTTTAACTTTTTGACACCATTTCCAACTCAAATCTCGCCTTTGGTTATGTTTACTGGATTCACCTATCCAGAATGTAGCCAATAATTAATTACACTAACCGTATTTTAAATAATGGCTTTTGTCAGATCGAATCATATTTGCGTACCTAGATATGTTATTTATTATCCATTAATTAATTAGTTAATTCCCTATAGAATTCAGCTGTATCGTGGAAATTAACGGCCCCAATGTTAAATAAATTACTGTACACTATTATACTGTACATTCTAAAGCCTTCTGTTATTATTACAACTACAATAATAAAATGACTGTAAAAGAATCTTAATGTACTGTACTGTCTCTAGCGAAATTTCTATCACTTTGTCAATTATTTTGATGTTGCTCAATTCTTAGTCTGTATTATTAAGTATAATAGCGATAAAAAGTTTTCGGAGTCAACTGAGTAGAAAATAGACGCGATTTACAAAGTTGAAAGTCTGATGAAAGTTTTCAACAATTTTTTAAGCAGTAAATTCTCTCATTTCTCCGCATGAGCTACAATCTGAATTAAAATCAACAATCTTCAACATTAAAATTTTTTTACTTGCTTTAAATAAGAACTAAAAGTAATATAAAATAAATAGACCCGATCAGTTGCTCAATCAAACGATGATTACTCATCTGAAATGGTTCAAATAGAGCTTGTTTTCATATAAGCAACTTCACACAACAACTTAAAAAATAGTGTTGGAATGATCTAATTAACTTGTAAAAGCATCAAGTTTTACCGTAAAACCGGTATTTAAACTAGTTTACAAAAATACATTTGCCTTCTAAGTAAAATTAGCATGTAAACACCTGTAGTAAAAACTCTCTCGTAAGTTCCAATTGCAATTTTAAATTAGACATAAATTATTATGCAATGTCCGTACTTTCGCTAGAATTATATAGCCAAGATAATACAGTATAATTCACGGATAGTATTAGGGACTTCTTTTACATTTCGCTCTACATCTATATCTGATTTTGAAATGAGCAAACATTATTGATAAATCCTGTCTACGGCCATGAGAAAAATACCTTGACTTAAGGTATGGATTTATCTCAAGCCTAAATTGATTTAATTTAAAATCCTTAATTTAAGCTTGATTTTAATTCAATCATGTTAATATTGCAAGCTAATCATGTTATCGTGTCGTATGGTAGCAATTAAATTGAATAGATAGAACCATTTTAGACGACGCAAGATTGTAGGCCCAGACATAGCCATCTCATACTGTTTTTAACCTGAGGCGTGCCTCAGGCATGCCTTAAAGGTATGGGAAGTATGGGTATAAATTCATCGGATTTCTTGTAGCACAAATATATTCACTTGTAGTACTTGTGAAAACAACATCAATATTTCTCGACCATTTAGACCTCACCCTTTTTCTAACTATGAGTTGGGACGGATTTATCACTAAAATAGTAGCTTCTGGCAAGGTAGCCCAAGCTGCCATCTACGGAAGAGATGGATGCATTTGGGCTTTAAGTCCCGGCTTTCAGGTAATGTATAAATGACTAGTCTTAATTTTTGATTTTAGCTCTCATATAGAAAATCATTCTTTTTATGCCTTTCATTGATCTTTTAATTATTGCATTCTATTCTCTGATGGTTTGCTCTTGCAATAAGTAAATAGCACCCCAAATTTAGCGCAAGCTAAATCTACTGCAAAAATGATTAGATTTAAAAATAGACAAAGCAGTTTCCTGATCTCCTTGCTAGCAATAAACACTGTAATAATTATATCGATTTTCTGATACATAATAGAATGGCGTTTAATCTTTAGAGTATTCAAGGTAAGACTTGAAAATTTCGTTTATAAATTCTACCCCCTGAGCAGAAAATAGGATCCTTTCTGTATTATGCCATCAAATACCTGTTGCATCCTATACTCCGATGCATGCTTTTGCAGCTAATGCTATCACTCCAAGTAGTCAAGGTGAAAATAGATCTAAAAGAGGGCTAAATTAAAAAATCAGTAAGTTTTCTTACTTGCTTACCGGCCGTAGCGTGTTAATTAAGATTGTACTATTACTAACATACTGTATTCTTAAATACAGGCATTTAAGTTCTTAAATAGAGATATTTTCACAATCTGTACTATACTGTATGCAAACGTATAGAAGTTTATCGTGCTTAGCTATGAATTTATAACACCCACAATCTTCGCTATATCATAGACTGTTATGATTTGGAACTTATCGAATTCCACAAACTTATTCTCTGTGAGTGTTCTGTTCTAAAGCTAACAAAATTACCGATTTCTGCCTCAGATTTTGTTTAATTGCAATAGTCGCAGCATTGGTATTTCTCACATTACTTTACAATAGCTTAGTAAGCACATACTCCTCCACAGTAACTACCACATTTGAACTCGAATGATAATAATCCACTATAAAGTATCCATTTTTTGTACTAAAACTTTGGTATAATTCTTTGAATGGCAACCAAATCCACTATTGCCTACTTATCGGCTCCCTCCACCTCTATTACACTACCGCTGAATACTACAAGGATAGTATAACATTATGTATCATGATACCTGATACCAAATAAACTTGTGTTCATATTCTATGGTCTAATGGACTAAATATCTGATATAATCAAGGTAAAACTTGAAAGTTTTGCTATACCGTCATGGTCTTGTCTTGTTTGAAAATTTGATGCGATATTTCTTACTCAACATTTTTTTGAACACAACAGCTCGCCGTATTTCCGTACGAGAATTGCAATACGAATTACTTTACATAGATATCAAATATCGTTATATTTTTTGTCTATCGTTTGATCAGACACTCAAATCGATACAAGTAATGATAGAAGTTACGCTAAAACTTGTAGCTCAATCTAAAGTTCTATGTTATGAGTTATATTGCACTCGTTATAAAAAATTTCAAATTCAGAATCTTACGCTTAATGAAGCGAAAATTTGAACTTAAAGTTATACGACATCCATATAATACGGAATGTTAAGGTTGAAATTATCCATTTATTCAGTAAAATGAGTTATATCAATATCTATTGTGGTTAATGAAATAATTGATACCAGTAATTGCTATCGTACTCTTATGAGTAATAAAGCTACTAATTGGCACTTACCGATGATGTCAAGAGAGTATATTCAACCTTAAATACAATTTCGTATAGGCGATCCTAAATGACTAATTGAAATAAAGAGAAGAATCCTACTATAGCCAAGTTGCAATTGCAATTTTATTCGATATTTCAATCCTTGTTTCTTATTTTGCTTTTACGAATAATAAATTCTAATCGAATCGTTTCCATTTATTGCACTTTAGCTTTCTGGTGACGAAGTAAAAGTGATACTTGACTACAAGAAAAATATCAGTTCTTTAAAAACCGATGGATTTACTGTTAATGGTGTCAAATACACATTATTAACTGTGGCTCAGGATCAGTGTATGCTTATTGGTACTGCACAGCAAGGTGGTGGAGTTTATATCTCTTTTACAAAACAAGCGTTTGTTTTGGGTACTTACACCCATAGTATGCAGCCTGGACCGTGTGAGACTGTCATTAGTGAAACAGCCGAAGAGTTGATTAAACTGGGTTATTAATTTTAATGCCAGGATCTCTTTTAGGAGCTGCTTTCACTCGCTTTCATTATTATTAATCTGATAATTATTACACCATAAATATACTAATGCATAGAGTGCCTTCTCTGGTAACATATTGAGCTTAAGTAACATCGATTAATCGTTATTGTAATCCAATTTTGACGTTTTATCAGATGAACTTACTCATTCAGAGTAGAATAGCGATTACAAAAGGCATTCCTTCATTAAAAAGTAGAAATTTAATATAGAAATCATTTCAGCCAAATAAACAATTTAATTATTTCGTTTATCGTATGGATTTGATTTAATTTAATTTGGTTATACTTCCTGCGATGTGTCATTTTTTTTCTACTCTTACGATAGAAATTATAATTTTTTCCTTGCTAAATTCAGTTATTTAGACGAGTTGATGCATACTGTCTGCTAATCCTTGCTAATTGTACTGGTACTTAGATCATTACATAATTGTTAGCCTTTCATTGAAATGGCTATAAGCGTTTTGGACTGTCTTAATAGCTTTAATAATCGTAATTAATTGTTATGTATTATTCGCCAAAATAACGCAACGGATTTGCATTATTTATGATATGCAGTAGCTAATTTGTTTAGGATCCATATCAGACATTTTCTGAAAAGTGTAGCACTGTATTCAGTGTTTCACTATCAGTGTCGACAATCTTTTCTATGTTCGCGTTAAACAGAGTCGCTTCTTAAAGCTGAACATCTTTTATTCTTAAACCCTGCTCGAGAAAATAAAACGCAGCTCCTTTTATAGTATTTTTTTCAACAGTGGCAATCTTAACGTGTTGTGCAACATACATTCAATTCACTTAAATTTTTTATATTGTGCTATGCTAATAATATTCTTCTTATCATACATAATGGCATCAACAATTATTCGGAGATAATAAGCAGCAGTCCTACATTACGGTGTAATACTAAAATACATACTTCGAAAAGTAATGTACTTTATCATCATGATTAAGTTAAGTTAATGGCTAAAGCATGAAATTTGATACATTGCTTTTCTGCATATAATCATAAGTAATTTTGCAGTAAGTAGTTGATAAATAAATACTTTAGATAAATTCTATTGTAATATACGATCAAATTTCAGGACCGTTAAGCATACTCCATATTATATAGTACCCTGTTATGTCTTAGACTAGTTTAACGTAAGTCATTCAAGACAGATGTAGTATACAGTCCTGCTAGTTCTTTATGCAATAAACCACTGATACTGCAGTAAATGAAAGAGTTGTCTTTATTGTATTACTTAATATTAATTTTTAGCTAATAATTTTTCATCTCCTTTATCATGCATAAATTTTTTACGATATGAACCAACCTGTGGAGTAAAAACAAACCAGAAATGGTAGTTTATTCGTAATCATAATGATAAACTGCCCGAAAGTGCTGCATTTATCTGCTGAAGAAGTCGTTTTCATGACTACGAGTATTTCGATCTCGAGCAAAAGCAATGTGTGCCTAGCAGCAACTATAAAATAAAATTATTAGCATTGAAAATCGGAATTATATCCATTCGCTTACAGTCGATGTAAGCAATGCACTCTTGCATGCCTACTTTTGAATCTGGAGCTCTCAGGCGTGTATAGTTCTTATTTATAATTATCTAAACGCACAGTCTTATCGCCAATTGTATCGCTACCATCAATCTAAAGTTGATGCAATACTATGCTGTGTACAGGGTACAAAATACAGACAACACTATAATCTCGATTTGCCTAATCAACAGGATGAGAGCGGGCAGTATTGCTTAAAAATTAGGGGAAATTAATGCTAACATTAATTTTCTCTAAAAATGAAATACTCAGTATTCTTGTGATCAAACATGATTGAAATAATTCGGATAAAATTATTTATCAAATTTGTAATGCAAACGCCGATGTTGGAAAAATTAATTCATCTTACTATATTAAGAAAACTTAATATAAACAAATACCTATGAATGCAATCCTATATCTATCCTTTCCATTACAAGTGTTATGATTTAATCGCCTTAGTGTATTATATTTAGAACCGAGAATAGCACGTAGTATTATATTCTATCTAGCAAATTTTGAATATCTGTAAAGCCTCAATCTTGATTAATATTACGAATTTAGATTTAACCAAAACCAAGAAATAAATAATGTCTACAGGTGTAGAGAGCTGATGGTAGATATTTCTTTTTCGTTCCATCATTATATATTAATTTTCTCGATAATGGTCAGATTACGTTAAATTGAAAGAAAGCAATACGTCCAGTTTATTATACACAAAGTATTAATTAATTAGCAGTGACTTTTCCATTGCCAACTACAATTTGACTTAATTTATATTAGAGTTTAGGTTTATATTAGAACAGTTCGTTAATGACCCTAACATGCGTATAGTTCATTTCGTTATTTTTAAAAGTAATCAATTCAATTTTGATATTAGTGACCTCATCCAATTTAACTAACTACTTCTTGTAGGCTGCATTAAGCTACATTACTTGTAGCTTACTAAAATTAGAGCATCGTAAGATCTGCTGTGTTATCATATTTATATTGCGTTATAAAATGTTAGACTGCACGTTAACTGCAAAATTTGAATTGTTTATTGCTCATCGATATATGAGTAAATTCGTACATAAGTAGTCAAAAACTGATTCATATTCATATCTCTATCCAGTTTATTGCTATATACCTTTAACAACGCTTGTTAATGAAAATAACAAAAATTGTAGATCATTTCCTCAAAGCTGAAGAATTTAAAGCTTGCAATCAAAATTACAACTAGAATGAGAGCTAAATTACAGTAAAGGTAAAGATTTTATTTCATAAAAATTATTTCTCCGATAGTAAATTAAATAATAAATGAACGACTGTCACGATTAATTATATAAGACTTTTTCTCTTATACTGTAAGCTTATGTATCATTTATATCGTAGCTTTTATCTATCGTTGCATGTTAATAAATTTACTTACTGGTAATAATATTACTAAATCATATTTTATAGCTAAATATTATATAATATTGTACTGTATTATTGATGAAAGTATAATGCAATCAAGGAAAAGAATTATGTTCTTAGATAAAAAAAGCGTCGAGCCATTCAAGATTCATTTTCAGTTATCCAGTATTTTAAAGAAATATTCAACCTGCGGTCATAACAAGGAAGTACACATGAACATTAAAAGACATCCCTTCTGTTCTATTAATCTTCAACGTTGGTCTTCATTAATATCTATCATGTTACAATAGCACATACAATCATAAAGCATGATACTTACCTCCAGTAGGCCGTCATCCGGTAAATCACTGCAATGAACAGCGTTACGAATTTTATCTTTACCAAAACGAGCGCGCAGAGAATTGGGTCGAAGTTGGCGAGCAATTTCCTTTCAATATAGAATAGTAGCAATTAACATTTAGTTTTACTTTTAGCTATCAACATTTATGAACTACCGATTGCCAATAAACTTAGTTATTAATACCGGATCTGCGGGTCCACAAAATTCGCGAAAATTTTGTGGCGCGTTATTTCCTCGAATTTCAATGGCTATACACGGACCGGATGAAAATTCGGATACCATTTCCTATAGTATAATTAATCACAATCAGCTATATTCTAAAAACGTCATATGCAAGATTGCAACGGGATCAGCAAAATTACCGTATATTCAGCAACCACACCCTTGTATATTTGAAGAAGTTCCTCTGCATTAGCTCGTTCCAACGTGCACTGTTTCAAATAAATATTATAATAAATTATTTTTATGCTATTCCTGTAAAGTTATTACGGATACTTGTAATGTAAGCACATCCTACATATTAGGTCTTACCATATACAGGCTAGAAATTTCAAAGCCTTGATCCGATATTGATCGAAGGATCTTACCAGTTAACTCTAAGAGATTTGAATTGATATAACAATAACGATTGCCTTAAAGCTAGTACTTAGTTTAAGTACTGTAATTCAGTACTTAAACTGCCGTTAAAATAAAGCAGTAGATACTCCGCAAAAGGTAAAAGATCATAGACGTACTTTCAGCAACAGCGCGGGGTTTAACAATCGCTAAAGTGCACTCAGTAAATTTCGCAGTGTTCCTACGTCTACCCCCATTTGTTGGAAATATAAATTCAATCTCCTGTGATTCCGCAAATATATAGTTCAACAATTTAATATCAATCACTCTTTACGGACATTAGGCTACAATAGAATTGGTAACCATCATAAATTATATAGAATACAACTACAAGAATGCAGTTTTAGCATCAACCAACCCTAGCAGCTGAGTCTGTTGAATCGGAACCATGACAAGCATTCTGAGTTCCATCTGTAGGCCAATCAGATTAACTTTGTATTAGTACTAGATTTCAATATTGGAAGACTTTTTTATACATGTCTATCCTATAACTATTCATTGCTATGGAATAATCTTAATTTATTGCAAGTTAAATAGCGCTATTATAAAAGGATGTATATCAAGTAATCGGATACAATCTATCCATGCTACAGTATACTGCAATATTATGTTATTAACAGTAATACTTATGTGTACTAATGTACGTATATTACCGGTGCCGTATCTGGCTCGAATACTGTTGGGTGCTTCTTGTCGTGCCTTTGAACTATTCGTTGGTCCTACGAAACCAACCATTGAAAGATCGATTAAATTATGAATGTTTAACACTATCAATACTTCTGATATACAATACAAACCTAGCAATTCCCTCCATCTCTTAATGGCGTTGGATCGCATTAATTCCATTCCTAAAACTGGACCGCTTGTCATAAAATCTAAAAGAGTACTATTACAGATAAATGAAATTTTAAAATATCACTACTAATCTATGTTAGTCTAACATATAAGTTATCCAATTATATAAATAACATAGTTATAATTCACTTGTAACGTCATAACTTACTTGAAGAAGTGTTTTCCTTCGTGTTCGGAGTAAAACTCTGCTGCTTCTTTCCTATATTAAAAAATTTATCTTTTGTTTATTGTAAGGTAAAAATATTGTTTTATGACAATTATACTTAATAGTTAAAATTAATCAAACCTGGATAGCTGAATTGATTTTAAGTTACAAATTTTAAATCCATCAGCTACAATAATGTCGACAATTTCTCCTATGAATAAAGCCCAAATGGCAGGTTAAAAAACATTATACCTCTTTTACTATTGTATAGACCATATACTAATAATTGTAATATACCTAATTTGGAGAATGCATCAGGCTTGATCATCGCATATGTTCTAATCATTCAAAATATAAAATGAAATAGATTTATTGAAAATTACTATGCAGCTTTCAACACATAAGCATGATCGAAATAATTACAAAGGCCTAAAGCCAAAATTAACACTCGATTACAGTACTAACATTAAAATTTGTCCTATACAAGCTACTACGTTAGATTTGCTATCATTCTAATATATATTACCACAAAGTGCCATCATGGAGAAATTTAAACAATGATATTGATAAAATAAGCTACATGGGTATCCTAGGAGATTCAGTCGTTTATTATAAATTATCTCGACTGAATGCATACTCAATCAAAGTTGTGGTTTCGTAAAGGTGCTATTGTGTATAGCTTTCATAGAGTCATCTCAACAAACTCTTGAAATCTTACCCCCCCCCAACTAATTACTCGACCTAATATCAGCTCGTAATAATCGATACTAAATAATAGCACGCTTGCCAAATATCATAAATTTCGTTACCTTTCTTTAGTTGGACCAAGTTGACTCGCTGTAAAGGAATCGCCATAATCTACTATTTTTAACTGAAGAAAAGATACAACAAATTAGGATACTGTCATAGAATTAGCTTGATACGTATACAAAATCTGATCTAGATTTACACAATAGCAAGAATGTTATTTTATTGTAACTGATTTTTCCATTGCTTACATACCTCTCTTGAGTATATGTTTATTAAAGCGCCGAGATGTAAGTCTTCTAGCGATAGGCTATCAACTTTAGACCGCTTAAGAAATGTTCTTTTGTTTTTAATATCGTACTATAAATAAAATTATTACAGCATTATTTCCTAGCATTTTGTTTTGTGCATTTACGGTATTCGTTGCATATGGCAAACTTGATTCTCCGATGTTGCTTACCATCTCAGCGGTTGAATCTTTAGGGAAAAAAATGAGATAATATTCGCGAATCAAAGCGGCGTTAGGATCGTACCAATCGCCACGAAAGCAATATCTGACTTCAGTTTCAGCCTGCATGATTATTAGAGAGTAGTAATAGACCATTATGTTGATGTTGCATTGCACTCCCGTTGAACATGTCAACGCATTATACTAAGGAATCCGGAAAGAAAGAGATTACATAGTATGCTATTACGTAGCTGTAATTAAGCTATAACTTGTCTATTAATATTGTCAATAAGGTTATGCATTGAGATTCCTTTCCCTTCACGATTCTATAGCTTGAATGCAACAAGGTAGTTGAAGTTAAGCGGATAATCCAGTAGAACCGATACTATACAATATGTCATTACAGTCTTGTAAAACAGGTATACAACTGACATTTTGGCTATCGATTGGTAAACAATTCGTATCTGAGGGTTCATTAGCCATAAAACAGTCCGCATTGGGTGCTACTGGTAGCTATTTGTATAGTAAAAGTTGTAGTATGGATGTTGTATGTATTTGTAATACACATTAGCAATGGAACAGTGATTCAACATGAAGTTTGCAATCTATTGAAGTTGATGGGAGAAATCAATTTCTTTCAATGACTAGTGTACGCCGAAGATACTTTCCTCGATAAATCTATATGGCCATCAGTATACCTAGTAAGTACATTACATGCTGTAGACTAACATAAGCAAGAGAATAAAGAGAACTGTGATGTGGATTGATTGGTTTACGCATCGACTAAGCTACCAATTTTGAATGAAACATCTATCCTGTCATCCTGATGGTGCGAAGTATCAACATGTTGTTCACGTTGTAGCAATCATGTTTTACACCAATATTGTATACAGTTAGAGCGTCCAATAGTTAGAGCACACAATACGACAGAGATATGGGTCTAATTGAACAGGCAGGTTGCCCCATTCTTGATGAAAGCTACTTACCATTTTAACTTTTACTGCAGTTGACGATTGAAAAAGATCAAGGTAATTTCCCACTGTTGAAAACAGCCAACTTTTGTTAGTGACAACCAAATCCATAGTAACGTCTACTATATATTGAGTTGCGCAGTCTACAGTGCAATACACCATCGTCTCAATCGTGCACAATCCCAGTTTCACTATGGCGATAGCCTGTGGCCTACAGTATATAGTACTGTACATCAGACGGTCAGAGTACTGAGTCTACAGTACTTGCAGTATGAGCTGACTAGCACATCCACCGTCAAGTACTGCAGCAGTAAAATGCGTCAAATTCCATGTTTACAGTATCGACGTTACCATGACGACAGCCGATACAGGACAGCACACCGTGTACAGTACTACCAAGCTTCATACTGTACAGTATGTACTGTGCAGTACAGCGCGATGAACTTGGTTGGCACTAAGGAAAATAAACGGTATAGGCTAAATCAAGTCCAAAGTAGATCAAATCTTATATCGACATCCTCTTGTCTGTCCCTATCGATTTTCAACAGGAGTGGTAACAACTTGTCACTTTCATGCCGCACAGTACTGTATGCAACTTGTAGTATCCAGTACTGTACAGTACTGTACTGTACACTATGGCCTACAGTAGACTTCTACAGTGTACAGTGTACAGTGTACAGTATTAAGATTATCCATTTTAAGATTGTCACAGATGCCCTTTGTACAGTACTGTTTCCATATGGACTCTCCATATGGACCCTGTGCCGTAGCGGACTGACTGTTTCATACTGTACCTACACTCGTACAGTACGTACTGTACTGCATGGTGTGTGGAACATGGATTTACTACACTGTGACCAA